TAGATAGATAGATAGATAGATAGATAGATAGATAGATAGATAGATAGATAGATAGATAGAACTTCTGTGAGTTTCTCACACACACACGTTTGTTTTTCTATCCAGGTTGAGACTTTCTATTGGTTTCTATTGTTTTTATGCAGAGAAAAGGGCATTTTCTGTTCTCTGCCTTTACCCCTAAACCTAACTCTCATACAAACTCTCTAACTCTCTAACTCTCATCTTCTTATATTTGGTTTCACATGTCTTTTGTAATTGTATTGGTAACAAGGATCAGCTGGCAACATCATATTTAGGAAATCTGTGTGTTGATAATAAGTGCGGTGGGACGTGTTCTCGCACGCTGTGGTAACTGCCACTGGATATGGCAAAAATCACCCTCGCATGCATCAAGGAAGAACCACATTTGAGTTATTGTAACTATAAAACAAGAGGATACTTGTACCTCAGGATCAGGCTCACTAATATACTGCTTGATGTCAGACTGTGAATGTGTGCTGGGCTAATAAAGCTATGATTATGGACCACTTGGAGAGAGAGATGTGAAGGGAGTATGCGGGGAGAGCAAAATGAGCGTAGGTGGCTGTCTGTCTGGAGCCTATTATTAAGATCCAGTCTTCCGATTCTGGGTCAGCCTGGAGGAGAAGAGGCAGATGTCCTGTGGAGAAGTTGGTGATTGAAGGGAATTGTTAGGTCACATTTCTTTCATCATTAATTGAAGAAATATTTTGTCAACAATAACAAAAATTATGCTTCAAGGCTAAATTTAAATGGATAGTTCACCTAAAAATTAAAACAGTTGATGGTAGCCATTGAGTTCCATAGTCTGTATACAAATAGAATGGCTACAATCAACTATTTGGTAATTAGCATTCTTCAATATATTTTTTGTGTTTAGCAGAGGAAAGAAACAACATGAGGGGGACTAAATGATGAAAGGATTCATTTTTGGGTGAACTATTTCTTTAAATCATTTTAAATGAATACAAAAATATAATAAGAATAAAGAAAATGTGACATTCATTTTTTATATGCACTTTGAGCATATAAAAACATGCAGCTGAAATTGTGACTGAAATCTTTAATTTGGTCTTCACAGTACACTCGGGTCATTTTTTAAATAGTCATAAGTAGTGGCAACGTAATATGGCATTAGCCGGCAATCACAGATTTTGCATTGTCAATCACAGAAAGCACCCTGGCGAGTTTACTTTTTTTGCGATTGAAATACACGTGTCCGGATGCTTTTTTGCAAGAGAATTACCTGTTCTGGTGCTTTTTTAAAGAAAATTGCAGCAAATCAATTCCGCTCCTGTGGAAATGTGTACAGTGTGTTCTTGCTAAGAAACACTTAGCGCTGTGTTAATGTGCTCTGCCATTTTCTTCTACCCAGAGGTCTTTGCTTTTTATAAATGCTCTCTCTGTGGGAATGCTAAGGAAAGTTCAAGCGCATATGTCTGCATGTAGACGTGTGAAGCGCACACCAGACTCCCAGGGTACATCCTGCCTCTCTCACTGTGTGCGCACATACATAATTTAATATAAAATTATAATGTTATATGATTTATAATAATCATATACAATTATTATGCGATATATATATATATATATTGTGTGTGTATATATAATAATTATATACATACAGTACATACATACATACATACTATATATATATATATAGTATGTATACATTTATATAGTACTATACATACTACAAAATATATATATATATATATATATATATATATATATATATATATAGTAAACATTTTATTTTATAGTTATATAATTTTATATTGTGTCTGAAAGTACATGTTTTGAATTTATATATTAAACTTTATTTTATTTTTCCAAAATATAAAAAAAAATATCAGGGTGATACAATTGTTCTGGTATCATAATGAAGGAAAAGCCTCAATAAAAGAAGAAATTCTTGAAAAAGAGTCTATTACAAACTAGATTGTCTGAAACTGCATTTATATGTTGTTTGTTTGTTTGATAACTGCATTTTTTATTTATACATTTTAAAATAAGTAAAGGAAAAGGTTACTTCTTTATCATGGACATTCCTTTAAGACAAAACATTTTGAACCGAATCTCTCCCTCTGCTGATGAAACATTTACAATCTGCATTGTGCGCGAGAAGAATCAGCAAACAGAACTCTGAAGCATAATTTTGATGTTCGAATTGATGTGCAGTTATTATGAGAAATTCGTCAGAGAGAAAACATTGACAAAAAATCTAATAAACTACCATGGGTGGGCGTTATACACTAAACAATCATTTAAAAATAAGAAATATTTCATGGTTCAAAAATCATACTCTTCTTTGATTACATTTCCCTGGCTTTTGATTACATTTACTTTGGCTTTTTCCACCAGGAGGTTTAATTACAGTGACTTGAAATGAGGTGAGAGGAAGCTTGTGAAAGCTTTGCTGGCTGGAGTTACTTCGAAGAGCAGCTTTTGACCAAAGTTGTCAACCTTGCAGTGAAGTAGAATACAGTTAAGAGTGAGTTCAGGCCTGATCATTCAAGTTTCGGAAAGATAATGCATTAACGTACCAGTCTGCAGTTCCTATAAAGGAAAGAAAACCCTCAGTAGTACAAATTTAGCCCACTAGCACCATGGCAGCCTGCCACACGGGTAACCTAATCCACTCAGTGAAGCGCCTTAATGCTTAATATTTCAACCATTTTTTCAGGGTTCTTTGATGAATGGAAAGTTTAAAAGAACAGCATTTATTAAAGATAGAAATCTTTTGTTACCTTATAAATTACTTTACTGTCACCTTTAATCAGTTTAATGCATTCCTGCTGAATAAAAGTTTTAATTTCCTTAAAAATAGTTAATAAAATATTTAATAATTATTGGAAAATCTTACTGACTCCAAACAATGGTGTACAATTTTTACTTTATTTTAAAAAATACCTTAATGTGACATTACAAACTGTATACTGTATGGTTATAAAAATAGTATGTGTGTTATGTTTACCTAATTTATGCTCATTTAAATATAACAAGTACTACTGTTGTTAATACTACTATATAGTTATTTTCCATTTACTTTATGCAGATTTAAATAAAAACATGTATGTATAATTGTGTAATTAATTATTATTTGTCTAATTTATGCTGATTTAAATAAAAAATTGTATTTGTATTTTTTTTTACTCTAGTGCTGTTAAAATGGCTGCATTACAGTATTGAGAATGAATGAGAATCATCACTGAGAATAACTGTTTTTACAAAAATACAAAACTGAAATATCTGAACATATTGAGTAATGAGAATTTGGGAAGAAAATGTCTTTAATTTATATAAAAACAATGTTCCAATGTAAGTAATTCTGATGGTCAAAAATTGATTTTTTTTTCTAAAAGAAAATTATAATTTCCTTTTTTTCTTTTTAATTTGGTAGTGACACATGAGCTGGACATGTTTCTTTTACATGTATGTTGTCCCACACTGGTTATTTATCACATTTTAAAAAGACATTGTAATGTACTGTACATATAGAACATGTTTAAAATCAAACATGAACATGTCAATTTCCCAACTGCAGATGTGGAGTTTAAAGAAGGAGAGACTGAGCACATCGTGGAGGTGGAAATTCTGTATGATGGTGTACGAGAGATGAGAGAGGCCTTCACTGTCCACCTCAAACCTGATGAGAACATGGTTGCAGAGATTCAGGTACTCCAGAATATGCCAAAAAATGTCTTTGTATAATCAGTAGTATTATACCTGTTTTTATTTCATTACCAATGAAGGATCCACCTTGTTTTCATTATATCTTCTTTTCCAAATCTTCAGGTCACCAAAGCCATCATCTACATTGAAGAGACGAACAGTATGGCCGATGTGACCTTCCCTGCGGTGCCAGTTGTGTTGTCTCTGTTGCAGTATGATGATACAAGCAGCACTAGAGATTCTCAACCAGTCGCAGGATATCCTATAGTCTGTGTCACGGTAGGTTCACTACATAGGCAAAGAATGAGTGAAAAATAGTGAATTTAGACACAGTAAATGTGTGTAAACTTGCTTAACAAAAATAAACTAAATATAAAATAAACAAAAAAAGCTCTGTTTAAACCCTATATGATTTATATATACATATTCATATATTTATTTTAGTCGTGCAACCCCAAGTATCCTGACTTTGACCGGACAGGCTCCATCTGTGTTGCTGAGCACATCAATAACACCCTGACCCGGTACCGCTGGCTGGTCAGTGCCCCAACAGGACCTGACGGTGTGACCAGCCCCATGAAGGAAGCGGATTTTGACACCTTCTTCACCTCCTCCAAAACAATCACATTAGACTCAGTGTACTTCCAGGCGGGCTCACGTGTGCAGTGTGCAGCCCGGGCTGTCAACTCCAATGGGGATGAAGGCCTAGAGCTCACCAGCCCCATAGTCTCCATCAGCCAGGAAGACGGTAAGTTTATTGTATTACAGAATTAACATCAATATTGAGACTGATCTCATGATGAAAATGTACCTGTAGGAGCTTTTTTGCAAGACGCAAAATACGTAGCGCCATGTACGTTTCGTGATGTTCCACTAAAAGAGTGTTCATTTTTTCTTTTTTTTTTTGTTTCCCCGGAACAGATGAACGTACATATAGGGGTGTGCGATATTGACAAAAAAATTATATCTCGATATTTTTTGGGATTTTATCGATAACGATAATTAGACAATATTTTGCTGAGTGTGTTATTGTGCTGATACCTTAAGGACTGCCGTGGACAGCTGACTCATAAAGTTTTTGATATTCTTCATATTCTGTGCAGTGGTCAGTTCACACGGATAGAAATTAATATTTTGCGATAAGTTTTAACTGATTTTTACATTTTATGGGCATTTTGACCTTTATAAAGCCATTTGTTTTCTAAAAGTGTCCATTATCTTTTGAATACTGATATTTGAAATTATTTAGATAATAAAAGATACTCTGAATGTGAAATTAAATCCACCAGTAGGTGGCAGCAAGTCACTGTTAATAAGTGAGTCATTGCAGCTGAACCGAATCATTTAAACGGTTGATTCATTCAGGAACGGAACGCCGTCATGTTGCTCAAAGACGCAAAACAGCGCTGTGGTTGTGTTTGGAATTATTTTTTATTGTCGAAATAGCGCAAAAACAGGAAATATGGTGTCTAAAACGTAAGTCTCTTAATTAACTTTTTGTTTATTGAACTGTTGTAAAAAATCAATATCACATTTGTAATCATTGTCATTTTTGGAGACAAAAAATGGCACTCTTCATGTGAAATTGATTAACTAGGCTATTTGAAGTGGTATAAATATATAAATTTTTTGCCCCCATGTCTTGAATTTGTTATCATTCTAAATTACTGTAATAGACTGAATCATCTAGTGAAAGAATGCACTCTAAATGCGCATGCGCACTATACTTCATATAATCTATGCGTGCACTCTGTAGGGGTGTTTTGAAAGTTTTTTGCAAAATACTCGATAATGTCAAATCGCACGTCGTTAAAACAACAATTGCAATATTATCGCAGATGAGATATATCGCACACCTCTAATGTACATATAGTTTGTTTTACTGTATGTGATGTTGGTTTTGTAGGTGTCACCACAGTTGACTTGAAATTTTCGTTGAGTGGCTCTAGAAGTCTAATGGTCTGTGACGTTTTAAAATAACATACCTTCTGCACTACACCTAAACCTACCTGATAGTATGAACAAAAGCGAATGTGACATAAAAACGCAATCGCAAGCATGCCGTTTTAGCTTGTTTTTCGATCTCTCATCTTTCAGCTCTTTCATGGTGAGTCGTGTTTTTCACAGGATTCGTACCCAAGGATTCCGCATCTTAAGTCCAATTCCGTGCCGGTGTTCTGACGATTTGTGCTACCCTGTCAGATTTTGCTACCTCCCATTAAAACAGATGGTAGCATAATTCGATAGCGAAAAGTGCTACCTATCAGTTTTTGCTTCCAGCATGATATTAATAAGGTGTGAGGCTTTATTAACATGTACACCTACCCCAACCCTAAACCTACCCTTACAGTAGGATAAATACAGTGTTGGTAGCATAATCTGATAGGTTGCATTATTTGTCAGAACACCGGCTGAGTTACCGAGCAAGCTTATTACGTCCAGAAAGCGAAACATATGGAGCTGTAATCATAACAGTGTACAAAAACGATTAAAAGGGCTTGTTGTTTTACCGCCTCTAGTGTTCATTTCTGTTGGAAACTGAACCGATATGTGCTTATTGGTATGTATTTCGTGTTTTGCCAAAAAGTTCCCACAGGTACGTTTTCGTCATGAGATCAGGTTGCCAATATTAGACAATTTCTAGGACATGAATGAGATTAAAAAAAAGTTTAGAGCTCTACATCATTTGAACCTGATAAAAATCCAAATTTCCTTCTTGCTATGCAATTTTTCAGGGCTATTTTCACAGCTACTTTTTTGATAGAAATCTATATGATGATAATTTTAAAAAAAATTCTTGTTTTTTTACCCAAAGTCCACTTATGTTAATCATGTTTAGAATTTTTTTTAAATGTTTACTGTGTGTAATTCACACACAATAATCTGATCCAGTTCCCAATGGATTAAAAATTAATTCTGCCTTAAAATTTTTCTGATTGAATATACTATTTCACTTGGGTCACTATTTCAAACTGGGTTGTTAACATTGTTTCATGTTTACTTAACAGTGTTTTTCCTAATGATACGGCTCCCTTAAACTGCTGCTGTTTCATTTTTTTTCTCCTTTTGTCATCAGGTATGTGCCAGCCTCGGGTTGTTGGCACAGTTGGAGCTGAGCCTTTCTCTGCCAGGCTGCGCTACACTGGAGCAGAAGATCCAGACCACTCAAACCTCATTAAACTGACTGTTACCATGCCCCATATTGACGGTCAGTGCACCTGCACACCAATTTTACCATAGTGAAAGGCAGATTGGGAAAGGATTAAAAAATGCTTTCACTTTCTGTGTCAGATCAGATACATACATGTCACATCATTCTCCTCATTCCCTTTGATAGGAATGTTACCTGTAGTCTCCACTCGGCCGCTCTCCAACTTTGAGCTGACCCTGAGTCCAGACGGCATGCGTGTAGGAAACCACCGCTGCTCTAACCTGCTGGATTACACAGAGGTGCGGACACGCTACGGCTTCATCACAGACGCCACCCGCAATCCAGATGCCATCGGTGGGACTGCACCCTACCAGTACAGCACAGCCCTCAGGGGCCAAAGCACCCTACGATTCTACAGAAACCTGCACCTGGAGGCCTGCTTGTGGGAGTTTGTCAGCTACTATGACATGTCTGAACTGCTCAACGATTGCGGAGGGACCATCGGGACTGATGGACAGGTGAGGAAAAAGAAGGAATCTGTTTTTTTTCTTTTTCTATTTACATCATGCCATGCCTTTAGTATCAGCCAAATAAGAAGTTATAGTATATACACTACCATTCAAAGGATTTTTTTTTTACCTTTTTGAATGAAATTATTACTTTTATTGGACAATGACACATTAAATTGATCAAAAGTTAAAGTAAAGAGTTTAATAATATTACAAATGATTTATATATATATTTTTAATATTCTTTTGACCTTTCTATTCTTCAAAGAATCCTGAAAAAAAAAACATTACATTTTCTACAAAAATCGAACAATGCCGCTGTTTACATCTGTGATAATGCTGCGGCAAATCAGCATATTAGAATGATTTTTGAAGGATCTTGTGACACTGTAGACTGGAGTAATGGCTGAAAAATCAAAAGGCGTAAATTACACTTTAAAATTTAAATAGATAACAGTTATTTTAAATTGTAATAATATTTCACAATATTACTGTTTTTACTGTAGTTTTAATCAAATAAATGCCGCCTAGGTGAGTATAAGAGACTTCATTAAAACATTTGAAAAAGCTTGAAAAAACTGACTCCAACTTTTGAACAGAAGTTTAAAATGTTTTGTGCCCTTAAAAGGGGTTAACATGTCCTTGTCTCTCTTTTGTTTGGTTTCAGTGTCAGTTTATGAATTTATTCAATCGTTTTAAGGTTTAGACTCCTGCTCTTGATATATGGATTCCCAGACTTTGCCAAACATATAAAAGGAAAGACTTTTTTCACAGTTGTGAGATCACATCAATCCATTATACTGTGGCTGGCCGTTTTAGCTTATTGGCAAAGGCATTTGCTTTATGTACCCCAAGTCCTCCTTTAAGCCGCTCACTATTTGTCTTTCGCCCACAATGAGTCAAAACTGACCTTTAGATCATAAAACGTGTCTTGTTTTTTCCGTCCTCCCCTTTAAACAGCTAGCTAAAAGAGTGTAGCCCTTTTAACAAGCTTTAGGCATCTGTTTACATGCCTGTTTGAGCCAGTCGTTTGTCTTCACCATGGACACAAGCTATGTTGGTTTACTCTGCAGTTAATTAAAGTGGACAAGTGTCACTAAACAGAGATAGATGGGTGTACAGGACACATTCAAGTTCAGGGAAGTTGATCTGTGAATTTATGCAAAACATTTTCCTGGAGAGTAGCAGTTAGTGGATAGCAGTTAACAGTTTTGGGGGTAACGCATTACAAGTAATGCAAGTTATGTAATCAGATTACTTTTTTCAAGTAACTAGTAAAGTAACGCGTTATTTTTTAATTTACAAGATCATATCTGAGTTACTTTTTCAAATAAGTAACGCAAGTAACTTTTTTTTTCCAATTTATTGATTGACAGCTCTCCTGTCCCCATGTTGAGAGAAATCAGATGTTACTGTAGTTCTAAAATAAATATGAATATGCATTCATTCATCTCACTCACACACAAAAACACAGATTCCTCAAAATGAATAAAAATAATGCAACTCAGAATATGACGCAAACCTGCAATAATTAAATGTTAAACAACACAAATATCCTTTATGTATTTAATCCCATTCTATTAACCAATGTCTTTGCTTCTGACCTTCGATGATCCAGTTCAACCATACTAATAAGCAAAAATTACTCTAGACAAACATTTGTGTGTCTTTTTTTAATTGCTGAAGTGTGTTGAAATATCTTCTTCTGTATTCTACTGTAAGGACGTAAATTTACTTTCCCTTCAGCCTGAGGCTTATTCATTTCACTTTTGGTGTGAAAAGGCTTTTATATTTGCCAAAAATA